CAAAATTTCAACTTTACAGATATAGCGTAAAATTCATTGCTATAAAATAAAAATTTGCAATACTTATCAAAGTATGAATTTACATTAAAGCGTGCCATAATCCAATATATATGTTAATTATCCTGAACGAGCCTATTCTATTGTTTACACATAGCATAGGCATTTTGTTATTTACTATACAATACATTTATGCTTGAATTTATGAATTCAAATTTATTATTATTGCACACTGAAATACTTGCTAAAGACAGCAAACTAATTATTAATATTTAATATAAGTGACTTATACTATGTGCAGCATTGCGGCCATGTTGTGTTTATAAACTTTTAAAATTATTATTCTACGTGGTTTATGACCAAAATTCACTCTCTCCACTTCCACTAATGGGTAGAGGTGGGTGTTTAAACAAAAAGCACTTAAAATAAATTTTCTTTTTGATAAGATTACTTATATTAAGTTGTAAGTGTTGTAAGTTGCAGTTCAATATTCAACAATTTCATTTGAGGGCATTGCCTCTGCACCCGTCACACTGAGACGTAATTTGACAAGTCCCATGTGCCTGTAATTCCACCAGCACCCTAACCCTTCCAGTGTAAAATTGTACCTATGGAATAAATGATTATTCGACTTTGACTTTCTAAACCGAAATGCGATAATGCTACTGTTTGGCAGCAGAAATAGGTATGGTGGCAGTACTTCCCTGGGCGAACTCTTTCACAAGAAGCTCTACTGCTGCTTAAACTACTAATAGGAATAAATATAGATATAATTTATCCCAACCAAATTGTCTAGCATTCTGCTGGGATTACGTCCCAGTTAGAGGGGAGTTTGATAATAATTGTCGATATTCAGAAAAAAATTACTTTTATTGCTTACTTTTACGGTGAAGCAAAAAATAGTGATATAAAATAGTTTGCTTCGTACATTACATAAAAAAAATAATCTTGAAGAGAGGTTTCATAATATTCTTTGATGTTATGTGAAGTTTCTGGCATGCATTAAGCTGCTTTGGAAAACTGACCCAAATGTAAGCTCTGCAGTAAGACAAGCTTTATGTGTTGATACTGTATGTACTTTTAAAATGTTTGCATTAAAATGCAGTCTTGCTATGAAAATGCAGTGATAACCTAGTTTACTGAATGTTTACCTTGTAATATCAAGTTTGCACTGTGTAGGTATGTTTGTTCAAATGCGCATATAATTTCTGTGAGTCTTCTTGGTTTCATTTGTATAAGTCATATTGCTTAAGACACTTTTGTAACGTAAAATTAGGATAGCAAATGTTCTATGTTAATAGGCTTCTATATAAAAGTACACCTGTCTCTATTATTTTTTTTTTTTTAATTATATCTAATTTTATTTTAAGAAAGACTTACGAGCCTTTATTTAACATGAAATTCACTTTACAGGAGACATCCACGGACAGTACTATGACTTACTAAGACTGTTTGAATATGGAGGATTCCCTCCTGAGTCTAACTATCTCTTCCTCGGAGACTATGTTGATCGTGGAAAGCAGTCACTGGAGACCATCTGCCTGCTTCTAGCGTACAAGATAAAATATCCAGAAAACTTCTTCCTTTTAAGAGGCAACCATGAATGCGCTAGCATTAATAGAATTTATGGGTAAGTGATTTTTAAGTTATTCATTGATATGAGTCTTTCTTTTTTAGTTTATGACTTTTTTGTGGTCATGGATTTCTTTTGTCCCTTTGTAGAGGTGTACATCGAAACTTATTCCAAAAAAGAAATGTTCTTTATTATACACATTTAATAGTTTTGTCTAATAAATTTTTAATATCCATTTAATGTTTTTCTTTAAATAGCAGAAATACATTGTCAAAATATGGAAGACGCAATTTCTTAGTGAAAAATCTTCCCTTTTTTAAGTTAAAATTAGGTTTTTAAAGCGGTTTCTCGAGGAGGGACCTCTCTCCTTTTTTATTTTTATATGCAGCCAAGCAGAACTACTTGAACTTACGTGAGCATTTCCCATGACCACATGTTGTTTGGATCCGTATTTTCGTGTTTCGTTTGTAATTTAAATAAATAGGCTTTTTGTTATTTTAACAATTTAATAGTTTGTTGGAACAAATTGCACAGTGAAACAAAGTGACGTAATTGTGAACAGGTTTTAAATATTCGATACAAGTAAAAAAGCTTACTAATATTCAGTGGTATATTTAATGGAGAACTCATATTCACGGTTATACTGAATGAAGGTTATTGCGATACTACTCTCATTGAATTTACACAAAAGAAGTATAGAAATAAAATAAAATACTTTCAATTCACACTAATACAACACTCGTATTCATACTTGAAATCGTCAAATTGATTTAAATTCCTAAAGCAGTTTGTCCTAAGAAGAATGAATAAGGAACTCTAAGGAAAAAAAATCTAAACTTTGTAAATATATACTTGTTTACACTGATCATTTACAATAATTATTTCAAAACATGATGGAAATAATTTCAAAATTAAAACGGATCATTCCGAGGGACCCAAGTATTCAGAAACTGTATAATAACCTTAAATAATAATTAACGTAAATGTAACATTATTTCCTCAAAACTATTACTTCCATTTCATTTTATTTGTTGGTTGGAATGAATTTTAATAATGGGCTATCATGAGTTGTCGAACCCCTTCCAATGTCAACCGAGGAATCGTGCATTTTTTTGTTGTACAACATGAGTCACTGTTGTGATTCATAAGAACAAGGAAAACTTTTTGATGCAATGCAAAGGAATTAAAATCGACGTTTATGACGAAAACGTACTACAGAATCACTTCGGTTTGTTTTAACAAGAGACATTTTGTAATTATAGCAAAAATAATACGTCTGAAGCCGTCTTATTGAAAAAAGAAAGTTTGTTTCACGAAATAGAATAACATGTCCAACTTTTGTTGTAAAAAATGTAAAATCTAGTACTAAAACAAGCCAAATTAGTTTATTTCCATTCATACTCTCGTCTTTATAATAAAATATTAAAAACTTGAAAGAAATAAGGGCTTAAAATGTAAACCTGGGGAATTCCATATTGAAACCTTACGTAATCATAACATATAATGAGTCAAACACTTACTAATTGTATATAAAGAGTCGAGGACATAAGTTCGTTGCTCATTAGAACATTTTGCGATCCCATTAAACTGTTTTAAGGTTGAATTCACACAATGGATGGGGTCGAATGCGTAGGGCAATTGTTTGAACTACTTGACTGCATAATCGTGTACACAATTATGTTATATGGTCATGTAGATCTTTGTTATAAAGGGAACATTGTAAAACATGATGGTGAATAGTTTCTCGGTTGAATTGATAGATGAGTGCAAAAACACTAAGGAAAAAACAGTCGTAGTAGTTTAGTTTTAAAGAAAGATTTTCCGTGTTCAAGTTTTCAATAAATCAAGTTTTCTCAGCATTCTCGCTCAGGATAATCGTCCTGTGGTTTTTTAACGTTCACTTTTCTTCTCGACGTTCATGTCAAAATTATGTCATATGCAAGTAAGAATATGATTCTTATTGGCTTGAAACGTAATTTTCTGACTTTGTTGTGCTTATTTTTTATATAAATAAGTTAATATGTAACTTCCTCATATATTACGCAAACAGTATTAGAAATATATTCCACTCTTTGATATTTAATCATCCGTGGCTTCATTATTTTATCACTTCATATCTTGCTTGCTGATATCTGGGGGCCGGATAATTTTTTTATAACATTTCGGGAAATTTTTCAATCGCCTCTATCTTTTTTTGAAAGCCTGATTTTTTTTTTGCTATCGATAGTACTTCATGTACTTGACTAAACCTCTAAAACAAGTTTAATTCGTATATTTTTTAAATAATATTTATCATAGATTTTTTTTTAATTGTTATTATTTTTTTGTAGAATGACATGGAAAGGTAAAAAAAAAAACGAAAAGATCACGAGATACTGCTTCTTTTTTAGAATTCATATTTTTGATGGGTTGTATATCATTCAGGTTGTCTCTAAATAAATTCGAAGTCAAAATAACAGCCTTAATATGTACTCTATAACGAACGAAATCGAGCGATATTTGCTAAAATATTTCTTCTTCAAACGAAACTTATGAAATTAATTGTATAAGAAAAAAGTTAAAATACTTCTTTACAAGACTGTTATGACAATAGATGATGTTTATAATACGCCTAGTACCAAATTCAAAGGCAGCCTGAATATTATACGAGTATTAGCAATATATATTATCGTATGACGGTATGAGATTGTCCAAATTCCTCAAAGATAAGTCTAATGACAGTTATTGAATGACATTAATGGGTATACATTAACATACTCTATTTCAACTACAGAAATAATAACAAAAATATATCTATCATCACTGGTCTCTTCTAAGAAGTGGGTTTAGGTTGTAATAAGCGTTCAGGTTTCACGATCTCCGTGGTCCAGTGGCTTGCGCACCGGTTTTCATGATGTCGCCATCTCTGACTTCCCGGGTTCGATCCCCAACCGGGTCAATATAGAAAACGAAGTTTTTTTCTATATTGCCTCGGGTGTGGGTATCTGTGGTACCGTTGTTGTTTCCGATATCCATAACACAAGTTAAAGCATTTGTTTACTTACTTACTTTCGGTTCAGATGTACGTATATGATGTTGTCTAGTATTTACCTAATAATCCGCCACGCGGGCCCAATGCGGGTTTCCGGAATTTACATGGCTTCCAAACGATGTGAACCTTTTTTCGCATGCAGTTTTCCTCACGATTATTTTTCGTCAACGTTAGCAAGAGATATTGCTACTAAACCTTCACAAATGTACTTTACTTAGAAATTAAAGTCCGTTCATACCGCTACAAGGATTCGAATCGTCGGTTGCTTAGAAATTAAAGTCGGGGTTCATACATTCACAGGGATTAGAACCGTCAGTTGCTT